CAGAAGCGTGTAGGGCTCTTGGCCCTCGACGGGGTGCACGACTTTGCACGGGAGGCTCCCCGGAAGCCCCCAGGGTGCCCCCACCCCAGAGGCAGAGGAAACAAGAGGCCGGTGCTGCACAGGGACCCAGGCTCCCCCCCGCCCTCCCGGGGACCCCGCCCCAGCCGGGGCCCCACATACCGTCCACGCTCCACTTGAGCGACTGATCTTCTGCCCGCAGGCTGCGGTTGACTGCCTCCAGGACGGCCTCCAGCTTGCGCCTCTGGTTGGGGACCGTGAGAGCCATCTCCTCCACGTCCAGCCGGAGCCCGGTCAGCATCTCTGAGGGCAGGAGAGCGGGAGAGGGCCCAGGAGGGAGTCGGGGGGAGAGGCCGAGAAAGGCAGGAGAGGGAGGGAGGGGTGAGGACCGTGCCCCCCCCACCCAGGCTCCCCTCCACCGCCAAAAGCCCTGTGAACCGAGCGAGCCCCGGCCCTCCGAGCCGCCCTCCACTGGCCCACCTCACCTTGACCTTAGCCTTCTGCTCAGCTACGTGCACATCCTTTTTGCAAGGCAGGGTGGCCTAGACTCCTAAGCTCAGACCCTGACCCCCCCGCCTTCCCCACTGCAAGACGCTGGACAAGTGACGAGGCCCCTCCGAGCCTCATTTTCCTCATCCATAAAATGGGGATAGTAAGAGGATAGGGTTAGTAAGAGGCTTAACCACACCTGCTCCTTGGCAGGTGCTCCGGAAGGGGCTGGCAAGATCGTTCTGTCCAACTACCAAAGGGTGCTGCTGAGCCAGGCCCCAGGTCAGCTGAGGACCAGAATCAGGTGCACCCCTGCCCTCTGGGACCTCACAACTTTGTGGGCAGAAGGCAGGTGCGCAGACCAAACCCGACATCACAACGGTGACGGGGAGGGGGCGGCTGTTGAGGAGTCCACCCCTGGGGCCTGAAGGGGCCAGGCTTGGGGGGGGCGGAGGTGCTGGGGCCCAGGCCCATGTACCCTGGGAGCAGCCGCTTACGGAAAAGGTGGTGCAAGATGAGCCCATCGAATATGTCCTCCTCCAGGCTGCGGACCACGATGTGCTCCGGGAGGAGCTTGGCATTGATCCACTCCATCAGCACCTGAAGACCCCAAGGAGATGGCTGACCCGGGACCACTCCTCACCGGGTCCCCCACCTGGCTCAGCTCTGACCCGCAAGGCCCTCCTCCCACCCGCCAGCTCCTATACCAACCTTCAAGGCCAGGCCAAACGTCACCTCCTCTGGGAAGCCCTCCCTGCCCTCTCAGTCTGACTTCCCAAAGACCCTCTGCTTCTCTTCAGCAGGAACCTGGGCCCGGGGTGGGGGTGGGGGGCAGGGGTGCTGTTCGTCCTGTGCAAGGTGCTGGTCCCAGAAGGCCACCACAACAAGTACCTGAGAGTGGGGAGGTGGCCGTGGAACTGGATAATGGGAAGAGTTTTGAAGGCCCTCGACAGGAAAGGCCTGAATTGCCCTGAAGAGGCTGTTGGGAGAAATCTGGATCTAAGTAGGCACTTCTGGGGAGAGCCCAGAAGGAGAGGAGGGACGTGACTTTGGAAACACAGAGGAGGCCCCGTGACAAGGGAGGCAGAGACCCGAGTGGCGAGTCTAGGCGCCAAGGGGCGCCAAGGGTCACCGGAGCCGCCTGACGCCGGGCAAGAGGCTGGGATGGGTTCCCTCTCGGAACCTCCGGGAGGGACCCACGCTGCCCACACCTCGACTGAGGACTTCCGGCCTACGGGCTGGGAGACCTTCAACTCCCCTTGCTTTAAGCCACCTGGCTCATGGTACTCGGTGGCACCAGCCCCAGGACACCCACACAGGGGCTGCTGGGGTCCCGCCTGATCCCCCGGACTCAACGACTGAGGCGCACACCCCTGCTCCCCTCTGCACCTCTGCCAGGGCGTCCGTCCCCGCCCGGGTTCAACAGGCCGGGAGCGCAGGAAGCAGAGCCCCGTGCCTTTAAGGGAGCAGCACCGGCTACTCCGGACTTGGGACCCAGCTACTCCGTCTCTGCACCTGCTCCCGGAGGGGCCCGCCCACTTGCTTTCCTTTCTCCTGACTCACTACCTGCACCCAAATCCTTCTCAGGGTAAGCTCCAGGAGGAGCCCCAACTAGGACGTGTCGGCACCCCGTCAGGTTTCCAGGAAGGGCCTCGGTCGTTCTACTCGGGTCCCAGTGCCTGACGGTGGGGAAGGTGGGATGGAGGAAGCCAGGGAACGGGAGGGAGAGAGGAAGGGATGGGAAAACGGCCACAGTCTGGGGGGGATGGAAGGTGGTGCAGGCCAGGAGGCCTCCCTGGAGGAGGCACCAGAAAGGCCACGTGGAGACTGGAGCAATAAGGCAGACGAAAACAGAGGCCTGAACCTG